TGTCAGCAAACTAATGCGCAGTAATACTACAGGTATTTTTTGAAATTTTATGAAGTTCTTTGAATTTTTTTAATTATTAATGTGCTAATGTTGAAGCGTTAAGCAGTCCGTGAGAAAAAATGACCATTTCCTTTTTACTTCACAAAAAACGGAGCCATCAGATGCAAAATTCAGGCAAAGGGCCGCAAAAATTAGCCAAAAGGAATGGTAAGCACTGAGTTTTTTTCATGTGGGAAGACACTCTGAATTCAGTAAGAAAACTTAAGTAGTGTCTTGTTTAAGTAAGCTTTGCGAGATGCAAATTTTACTTTAGACACAGGCCTTGTGCTACGCAGGATTTCTTATTCCCATCCAGCTTATTGGAAAAGAGGTGCTCCGTGTTGGCCCAGTTTCATCATGTCACTGCTCGCTAATACTGGAAACAATTTTGTCTCGTTTAGTGGAAGAGAATTTGGATGATTGCTTTTTCATTATCTTCAGTAATTAGGCAAATATGCCACCGTTTGAGCTACCAAACATGCAGAAATTAAGGGAATTTTGAAGCGCCTTTCGACAAAAACGATTCATCGCTCACGTTATCTCCAAGTTTATCGTCACTGGTCAATCAAGTGAAAAAGGGGTACGATGATGTGCTACAAGCTGGAAGTTTCTCGTCTCGCCTTCGTGAGGGAGTGAACACTTTGGTGAATGAAGTGCGCAATCTCAATCGTTCCTATGCTAAAGATGCTGGTGAAAGCAACAGCAGTTTGCAGCGCGAACTTAATGAGCACTCAGACCAAGTATTAATTTTGTTTCTTTTTTTACAGCAGCTTAAAGGCCTTTCCAAAAATGCGTATATATTCGCATCATATATATATATATATATATGCATGTATATATATGTACATGTATGTAATGTCTTTATGTGTGCAGCTTTCGAGAAATATGATTCTGAAATAGGTAGCTAGGAGGCTGTAGCGAACGCTGACATGATCCAGTGTAGTGAAGTGGGCTCTGAGTACAAAATTTGTGATTTTCATTCTTTAATGGAGTTTTTAGTGATTCCTCATGTAGTGCAGCAGATTTGCGAAGTGATTTTGAACCTCATCCCGTTTTAGCTATTGCATCTGAATGATCCACTGTTTCAACTGGATACCGGTTCTCATTGTTCGTTGCTTCCATCAGACTGGTGGCTAGCCGATCAGATCTTTGCTCCCGCTTCAAGTCCGCGCGATTCTGTTGATGTTGCCATTTCCTCCGCTTCTCTTTGTCCCGAGTGCAATTTGGTTCGCTTATCTTGACTCTTCTTTATTGTCATTTTGAAGAGACGGTGGCTGAACACTGCTTATGGTTGTGGTTGAAGGCTTTAGGTGGATCTGTACTCTCAGCGAAATTCTCTGCTGTTTTTCAGATCGTGTACGATGAGGATCTTATGTCCGGGTGGGCGGTGGATGAATCAAATCTGAAAACAAACTGTGTTTACTGCGACTGCGCATTTGTTCCTTCACTAACTATTAAAATTCGTCAGCGAGAGGTGCCTGTTGAAAACAGCTGGTATTTGCCGTCGTCTTTTGCTGTGGAGACTTCAACACAGGAGGGCTCTACTCACTGTAATGGGGATAACGAATCTACAGGCGCCAGTCAGCTTTCAGTGAGTTTTTTGTAACCTCTGCATTGATGTTGCTGCTGTTTCATTGTTACTGGTGAAGATTTTTCGTATCTTTAGGTTCAGTTCTTAAGTCCGCTTGTTCTGCGTCGCGAACTGGAGAATTTGCTGAGCGAAAATTGTCTTCTTCCTGCAAATCCATCACTGAGGCATTCCAATCCGATTGTATTCTGGAACGTTTTGTACTATTCTCGACGACTAGCGTTGCCTACGCATTTCCCTAGTTGGATTGCCTCTACTACTCATGTTCGATGTGTTTACGATGTTCCGGAACTTCATACCAGATGTACTCCACTCTATTTCGTCAACCCTACACATAAGGTTTGCATCGCTTCGATATTACCGTTTGCAAAATGAGCATGTGGAATTTTATGGAAACATTATTTTTGGTCGAAACAGTCCCTTTCGCCCCATGCAGACCGGAAATGGGAATTTGCG